ACGTTATATCTTTTAGCGCACCAGCTAGTTCCTTTTTTTTTTCTAGTTTCTTTCTTTTCCAACTATTCGTTTCTCTTTTGTATATTACCCTTTGTTCCGTCTCCACTTCTTCTTTTCTTTACCGTTTCTTAACCACGCTTCTTCTTATCGCTTGTTCGACGACGATCATTCTTTCATTGGTATACACACACGTATGTACGTTGGTTCAGCTTTGGTTTGGTTTGGTTTGGTGCGTGTGCGCGTGTGTGCGTGTCTTTATTTTTTTATTTTTATTTTTTTTTTTTTTTCTTCTTTCCTCTTGGTTCCTTACGTGTCTACGCTTTGATGAAAACGGATTTTTGGCACTTCCCCAGAACCCCCCGCCGATCTTGTTTCTTTTCAGGAGACTAAAATTAATCGTTCGCGTAACGTGTTTGGTGATGTGTTCCGGTTTAACAGCCGAGCCCGAAGTGTGGAACCGCGAGCGTTGGATATCGGTTTCGCGGTTGAATATCGACTTTTATTGAATCCGAGACACTTGTAATCGGTTTGTGGGAAAGCCGGAGTGTACACGGCGTGTGAGATGTAACAGAGGATTTTGTCGAGATTCGAGCGAGCTATTGAAAGGTTTCTTGTCAGCTAGAATTTCTCACACGTGTGAAATTCAGAAACGAGTACATGTATTTCGAAGTATTACGAAGTATGGCTTACGAGGACGAAGCAAAATCGGATTGAAGAAGTTAATAATAAAAGCAAATCGGGTTCCTTTACCAGTATTGCAGAGAAACACTTTAGGAACATATACAGTGCTGAATTTCTTGAGATTTTAACCCTTTGACTAGGACAGAGTCTGAAATGCATCAGCCGTATCATACGGTAGCAATCTATTTACAATGTACACCGAGAACGGTGAAATAATAATTAATTTCTAAGAAATTATGGTATATTCAAATAATAATCGAAACACTATATTCCACTAGATTAACCTTTTCGCTTTAGCAGTTGAGTCCACCAAAATACCCTAGGTAGTAACCTAACCTAACAAGAAATGTGCACAGTGTGCATGGTTTTGCATTTATTGTTATTATTATTATTATTATATACGTTTTTCTAAAATAACTGTGCTAAATAAAACAATCGTATACAGATTGCACTTGTGTACGCATCATTTGGATGCTGGATGTATAGGGTGTCCTACCCAATAGTCGTCGCGTGGATATCGCCTATATGCGACGCTCGTACCCAGAAGTCATCGCGTGGAATACTGCCTATATAGATGGCGCCCGATGCGAAATGGTTAAAACAACGTTATTTTCTTCTTCGTATTCTGCATTAAATTGTTACGATACATATTTAAAAGTTGACAGTAAAAGAGAATTCCGAGCACATTTTAGGTGTCCACTGTAGTCAAAGGGTTATACTCGAGTATCTCGATGGAAGAAAGTAAAATGACGAATTGTCGTATGTTCGCGATGACAAGAAACTTTCGAAGCCTCGATGAAATTTTCGTAAAGAGATGTCAAGTTTACAGCGAGTAATAAATTAATATAGTTTCTACTGGAAATGATTTCCCTTTTATCATCACCAAACATCGTTAAGTAATGCTTCTGCACTAACGGATTGCAAAAAGAGAAAAAACAATGTTTATTACTTGTCACAATGCCTGTCTGATGCATAATTCTTATCCTTCAAGGTATAGATACTACTGTGCTTCATCATCAAGGACCACTGATATCAAGCGCAGCCATAATCGGTATCGTGATCGCGGTACTGTTCATTATTATTATCGTGATCGACGTGATCTGCTGTTGCGCCCATAAAACAGGTGAGGAAAATGTTTAACAGTAATTGAACCCTTGAGAAATACAATTACCCTTGCAAATAAATTTTCGAATTAATTTTCGACCCATTAGAACGTGTCGTAAATCACGGGAAATTATAAGCTGCATATTGCGGAAGTGTAAATTAAAACTATGATGCGAAATTATAATTCGACGGTACAATATGTGAAAGTCGGGCAATTGCATCACGTTTGTAATTACCACGTGAACTGTTTCGAGACGATAAAGCTATCGCTGTGTACAATATTAAGTAAAAGTGCAACGCGAATGTATTAACAATTGCATCACACGTGTACCTAATTTCACGGTATAAATTCATTCGAGATTTTAGCATAAATCTACCTAAAATCACGTCACAGCGTTACGTGCATGCGCAGCGCGAATTTATTAGCACCCGCGCGCCGAATGTATCTAAAATTGCAAACTGGATTTATCTGAAATTACAACGTTAATTTGCTTGATACAGCGGCGTGAATTTATCTGGAATTACTCGCGGCATAAACTCGCTTCAAAATTGCAACGAGAATTTATCTGAAAATGTGACTGCGATTTCGGGTAAAATTGCAAACGCTGGCTTACGCTGAGTTGTCGGGTACAGTTAAGCGAATTTCAAGAGTACATTTCACCAACCAAAGAAAAGAAAAAGAAGGAAAAATTTCAGGGAACAACTTTTCGCGTTCCACCTTGGTATTTTTCTTTCTTTTTTTACAAATTTCTTTGCAAACGATTATTTCAAATTTTGCATTGCATTTGCAGGAATCATATATTACGTATGCGAACGTTCCCGCCGAAAACCAGTGGACGAAGAGGACGCAAAACTTGGCAGGTGAGGCTCATTCCAATCGAATTCTTTCAATACACACCACACGTGCACACGAAACATACTCACGATATTTAGATCGATTTACTCGTCCTCCTTATATACATTATATATATTTTACATTGTGCTTTGGCAAGTCTTTGGCGCTATATTTACCGTGTCATCGAACTTTGCACCAACCATCGAACTTCGTACAAGACCTATACACGAATCTCTTTCTTTCACCTCCCGACTGTCGAACGAATTTTCACGACTCGAATCGAGATTCCTGCCGGAGCCGTGACTAACGTGTAAATTAGTTTACGGAGCATACGAGTCTGAAGAACGATCGATCCGTGTGAATATTCGTGAGAACCCGGTGCCGGTTTGTTACAGACTTGTTCAAGCTTTCCAGAAGAAATTACCTAAAAAGAAAAATATTGAATTAGCACAGATTATTCAAAAACCACTTTCGATTAAAGTTGTAAAAAAATTAGGAAAAGAACGAATGTACGAAGACCGTGTGATATAATGCACTTTATAGCGATGGCATTTTGAATGCTTTTACCTTCCATACAATACAAGCGTTCCGAACATGAATAACATAATTACTCAAAATGTCACTCCAATATTGACTTTGCTAAAAGCGAGTTTTATTCCCTCACTTTCCATTTTCATTTCGGGCAATGGGGTGTCCCTATAGAGATCCATGAATTCGAATTGTCAAGGCTTTCCACGATCCCAGTGCTCTTCCTCCTTAATAGTATAGCTGGGTTGTGTGATAAAAAGCCAAACGACCACACGGAGAAGCCTTTATAGACCGAACTTAATGGACACTCGACAAATCGGAACCGGGCATCCTTTATCGCGTTCTCATTGAACCTTTGGCGTCGGGGCTGTATTTGTCTTGCAAAAAATAATAGCGTCCCGTGGTTAAATGGTCCGGTTAACTCGTTAGAACCTAGTCCGCCATTAGGAGACACTTTGACCCTCTCGCATCTGTCTCTTTTTTTTTTCTTTACCGGTAGTCTTTACGGTTGGCGGTTTCCATTGCCGTATTGCGACCAAAAAATGGCCAATGTCGCCGGAGTCACGGCCATCCAAGACTCGGGTAGTGGAAAAAATACCATTAAATTGGTCAAACACACTGCCATGTAAGAGAGATACATAAATGAAAATCAGTAAGAAGCATGGCCTCTCTTGAAGGGGCTCTGACACGGCTTTCTACTTCGCATGATGTCTTTTTTTTCTCTTTTTTTTTCCGTTCAATATTTCCAGATCTTCCAAGATTTATTTTTTCTTGTTTTTAATTTAACTTCTTTCCTTTTCTCGGCGCCTGGATGCTGGTAAACATCTCGGAACGCCAAACACGTAATTCGGTAACGGCATCTGTGGAAACAAAACTGATAACGACCGTCGATAAAACAGAATTACAGCATGAAAGGATATCGTTTGTTTTTCTTTCTTACCTCTTTCTGTCTAATTTGTTTTGCCGCCAACCACTTGTCGTACAAAAGAACACTGTACATTGTTCACCATGTTCAGTTCATTTCATGCTTACTTGTTCTGTCTCTCTGTATATTTCTCTATCTCACTTGCTCTCACTGTTCTTCCTACCTCTCTATCTCTGTCACTCTTTACACGCGCTGCATAAACTATCGCCATTATACGCCCGTGCTTTGGCTATGCTGCATGAGATATCAACACTCTGAAGTGATATTAATTGCTCGTTAACTACGTAGTACACTCACCACCATTCGCTCTAATTTACCCTGTTCCATTCAGCCGCGGATCACGAAAGTAGGTAATTCAGTTTCATTGCCTCATGAGAAAGGTTACCGTGGAGACCAGATTATTCCTCGCTCGTAAATATTATAACCTAATATCAATTTCGAAATGTACGATCGTTTAATGACATTTCAATACACACTTGCCACTTCGTTGATCTTTTTTACTACGTAATTTTTTTCTATTCAGCTACATTTAACTTACGTTGTTCTACATTCCATTTTATGCCTATGTATAAAACACACGCGACGAAGAAACGGGGACAGGAACGATACTTCAATTGCAAATACACAATACTAACGAGTGATGGCATGCATTATGCGTATTATTCAATGTTGCACCACGCGCCGCATCTCGACATGCTCTTTTATGCCCAGTACTAGAAGTAACCTTAAAAATCACGTGACATATCGTCTTCCATTAATAATTTCCTTTTCTATTGGAACATTTTAGAGACGAGAAGGAACCACTGAAGGAAGAGAAGAAAATCACACCGATCATCGACTCGGGACTGCGTCGGGAGACATCTATCACGTTTGACGGGAAGAGATCTGTCTCAAAGACCGGTTTCGTCGGCAAGGATTCAGCTGTCTAGATATTCTTCCAGCGTACTAGATTGTAAATCATCGTGGAAACACTATTCTGGCCAAAGTGTTCTCGAACGATATGAAAAAACCAGCCCGAACAGAGTTTCGTGGTTGCTAAGAATCTTCTCCTTTAACGAATTCGAATTTCAAAAAGTTTTGCGACTCTACTCGGGATTTGCGCGGGGACATAGAGCAACGAGATACTCGAAGCTATACCTCGTTCTCTGTTTCTAAAACCAGACATGACGCGCCATCTCGACACAACCGAACGATGCAAAATCCCATTCGTCTGTTTCATTCGTGAAATATCCAATGGTTGACAGGATAATTTCCGCGTACATTCTCTTGTCTGGGCCTCCTTATCGAGAACACGACAAAGTGATTATAGCATTTATTCGTAAGCATGCACATTACCAATTTGCTCGATACAAAATTCTCTGCACGTATGATCTTTCACAAGTCCCGACAAATTCTTTATTCATAAGAGAAATAAATATCTCTTCCTCCACTCCTCTCTCCTTCGCCAATGTAATATCATCAAAGCGTATGAGACACAAGTGTAATCCACAATCTATGATAAACACGAAATGTATTGTGTTCCAAGATCGTTTTGGGGAAAAAGAAGAAACTATTGATATAATGTAACTTAGCGAATATTGCAAAAAGGAGGAGTTAGATAGATCGCTTACACAAGAAAAAAGAATGTACAAAATTAATCGCGAAATTGGTAGAATATTGGTCGATAATTAGTAATCATTGCTTCGAGGCACCCTCTAGATAATCGCAGTCTAGTACGCTGGGTAGTGTACTGTGTTATCATGTGCACAGCACGAAACTGAAAGAAAAAAAGAAAAAAAAACCAGTTTACCTATTCCATACTGTTTCTTCTCCGTTAACAAAAAGGCATCTTCTAACATTTAGCATAAAAATAAGAGCTGAAATTTGAAGAGCTATTACAAACGAAGCAGGAACGAACGGAATGGGTTTCTTCTTCTCTCTCTCTCTCTCTCTCTCTCTCTCTTTCTTTCTCTGTCTTTCTTCAACGAGGTTCGTCAATTTACAAGAATCTCTGATCTATGTATATACTTTGAAAAGTTTTCATACTCCCTCGACATGTTCTATTCATGTACGTTTCTCAATTAGAAACCGTGTTATATGATCCACAACACAGGTACATTTCGTTTTTATTGTATTCAACATGATTCTAAACGACGAATTATCCATTTCGTGATTATATAACTTGATTTCAAAGACTGATTCCTTTAAGCGCGAGACTTTATGAAAACGAATCGTACCGGTTCTCATTGACGATCAAGGAACTCAGGTTAATAAACGGTTTTCAATTTGATTCGTCGTTTATGTACCTTTTGACAAGATTCATCGCTATGTTTTCCCTAGCCATAAATAAATTTTGACAAAAATGTTTCTATTGCACACCATTTTGGGTGTGACTATACTCTTGCCGTGTCAATCACTATGACTGACGTATTTGGTATACGTATGACTGATGTATACCGCCCATACGTTTATTCACGGTTAGTTAATAGCATTTTTCTACTTTGAGGTGAACGCCTCACGCGTGAAATATTTTTTTTACCCTTGACCTAATTTATCGTAATAGTTTTTACCGTGTACATTTTACAATGTAAAGATTACATCGTCGAGGCGTCGCGTGCGAGAGCAGCCCTAGTATCTCTTTTCGTCATTTTTACACTTTTGTTATTAGTATTTTATGTATCCTATATAGTTACCCTGTATGTAAGAAAGTAACCTAACCGAGAACTGGGCAGCTTTTGCGATGAAATTTTAATTGGTAAGATTATGTAACATTACGATCGAATTATCGATGCAGTTAGAGAACAGTATACTTAAAAACTGTAAAATATGAAAATTAAAAAAGGATTCCGAAAGAAGTTGTATTCGATATATCGATAATGAAGGCGGTTTAATAAGTCTCAAATATATCTTTCGATAATTAAGTCTCTCTAATATGTATGTATAGTGTAATCAAAAGCAGCGACATCTGCGATTTCGATTAAATGAACTTATCTCGCTTTAAACACTAAATTGTAACACTTGCCAGTTGTAACAAAAATCTAAATTTTTTGTTCCAAAAGACGTAAAAAAAAAAAAGAAAAAAAGAAAAAAAAATCGAAAGCTGCCATATATATATAAATATAATATTCGATAACGTAAAATAATACCAGTTTTGTCCTAACGTGTAAGATGGCTTTTCAAGAAAACGCAGTTAAAATGTGATAAGTTTTTGTAAATGCTTGTAAACGTTTTTCCTAATCTTTAAGAAATATTGGAAGTAAGTTTAGGAAAGTTCGGTAAGTTTAGAACGTTGTATGCGAGGTCGGAAGGTGCGTTCGCAAAACAAGAAAGGAAAAGACTAGTAAAAGTAAACTGCAAAAAATAATCGATCGTGTGTATATTTATTTAAGATAGTTGTACCTACCCATAAAGTATAAAGAGAAAGAAATTAAAACTAACCATCGTCTCCTCGCTTGCGAACACACTTTCTGCGCAGGTAGCTTTTTTACGTACCGTAAACACAAGAGTTTTGCCAAATATATAGTACTTATTAGCTTATAAGTCAACGAGTACATATTATACACACACACAAAAAAAAAAAAAATATATATATATATCAAAAAACAAGAGAAAAATAATGCCGGACTGTTCATCGTAATCGTCATACAGTATTTCAAGTCTTCACTGAATTAAGAATTGACAACTCGACGAGGTGTGAAGAAGACACGTTTATCTAGCTATTTTATATTCGTTGCCAAAATCCGTAACCCAAGTAGCTTCCCATGAAAAGTATTACTACGCATCTTCCAATTTAATAAATATTATTACAAACATTACTAAAGTTCGTAGATGTAAGGCATATTTTTTATGTATGCTTTTTCTGTACGCGTTAAAGAAACGTACTCGATTAATAAAGGATAAAGAACATTTTCAAGGTCAAATGATTCACATCTGCATATTATTTAATTTTTTGTATGCAAAATTTATTCATTAAAATGCTATTGTTCATTATAATTTAAAAAGAGACATATGCACATATTTTATCGTACAGAATAAAAAGATCTTGCACTAACAAGCATGTTAAAAGTATAAAAAGCGATGAATTCTTAAAGTGAAACTGTACTTATTGATATTATATCCTTCAGGCGACTGTTATTATGCACATACCCTATCTAAAACCGATTAATCTCTCATTTGCGTTCTTACCTAATATGCAGCTATAAGTGGCTATGCGTTATGGCACTGCACTATTCCTCACAAGTACATGGCCAAATGCAAATAATAAAAAGTGTATATAAAATTCATAGTTCTATTTTTTTTTATAAATATAATATCATATCACTCACGTTCGTAGATGAGATAATATCATGAGATAATTTCTATATACCTGTTTAATAGAGCACATGCTTTCTCAACAATTGCAAAATATAACAAACTATAGTTTAACGTTTTTATCATACTTCAATACCAAGATTCGAACGTTTACCTTTCTTTATTAATAATTGTTCTACGTTTAACTGTGGTGGCTCTGTTCGTGTATGCCACACATATACCTAAACATATGAAACATTTGATTTATATAATGATGTATATAAAAAGCTAACATACCTTATAACGTACCTTCGTACAACAATCTGCCAGTGGCTCTAATTCATCTCTGGTAACGATTTGTGACAAAATTTCACTCTCCTGATATCCACCTTGAACATCGTACGAGAAAAGTACATCTTTCTTGTTTATTAAAAGCCGTAGGTTAATCGCAAAACCTGCCATATCCAACGGAAACGGACGTTCTGGTTTCCAGGCAGCATTGAAACCGATTATCTTATTAGTACTATTATCACATATTGGTTTCTCTACCATTAAACCGCCAACTAAACCAACAGGCCATACGCCGACTTTTTTTATTTTTTCCATCTGAAATATATATAGGTTATGTAAGCAATATTTCATCAATATCAATATTCACTTTCGACACTAGATTTATCACTTGACTAATAATACTACCTGACATTAATATTCTTACCTCGTGAAATAATTTAATCGAGTACGTATTGTCATCGTCAGCAAAAAATACTATCCCCTTATCGTTTGTTTGGTGATTGTCTCGAAGCCACCGTAACGCTGTATTCCGTTGCTCAACACCACGTGGCTTCTTCCAATTCGCGTCATTTCGGCCCAATTTATAATTAGGTGGGGTTGCTGCGGCTAAATGAGTATAAATTAAACCACTATTCTCTAAAAGTTGAGTCACGAGTTTGGTTTTGCTTTCTGCATCTTCAACAACAATCCAGTGGAGATTCGGTAAATGTAAAAACGTTTGCGATAATCGAGTGAGCTCAGCTTTCTGTACAGGTCTGGTAAACGTGGGGGTAATGGCATAAATCATGGGCTTTATAGCATATCCGTGTCTGTCTTCATTGAACACACCATGACTTTCTAGTCTTTTAATTAGACTGTATGTTAATCCATATATATCTCTTTGCTCGACGATCATCAACTCCAGGTTATTCCTCAGCTCTTGCCATTTATAGCGTTCTTGATAGTCTTTTGGAAAAAGAAAAACACATAAATAAAAACTGTAGCGATACGTGCTATTATAAGGAAACGAATAGTTTATAATTTGCATGAAGTTGTTAAAGATTGATAGAAGTCCCGATCGTTCAAAATAAAAATAACGAAACAATAAAATAACTAAAACAAAATATATACATATAATTAACGTATTCTAACATCGATATACAAAGCGAAAGCACATGAAAATCTGTAAACAGAATAAAGTATGATTCTTAAAATGTATATTATGGAGGAAATTTATTTAAATATCGCGGGACGCATGTGTAGAAATTGCGACATAGAGCATATCACGTTTACATGCGTGAAACTGAATTTGCTACAGGTGTAGATGAAACTATATACATATTTGGTAATAAATAACTACTTACATATGAAACATTGAAATACAATGATATGCACTAGGAACAGAATTAGGAAGCCATTGTTACAACGAAAACCACCCCACATATTAAATTTCGTATCTTTTGTAAATTCAGTACCAAATTCTTCAATGAGATATACACTTTCTGTCATCGTTGCCACGCCATGACACTGTTCTACGATGCCGACTGTACTGAATTGAAGCAACGGCTATGTTCTGCATAAAAATTTATAATGAATTTATAATCTCAAACACAAAACCACGTTATCAAGGACGCTTACGTTATATCATGATATGGAGCATTAATCAAAAGGTAGTCACAATTCTCAACTGTATTACCAACGGGGTTTAATTGTGGTTACGACAAGAATCATAAAGTAACAATATTCTTGTTTCATTCGTATAAAATTCACTTATTATTTTACTAGATCCATGACAAATAAAAGGTGCTGAAATTTCAATAGTCATCGTAAACTATGCGGCCAAAAATACTCTACGAAAGAAGAATGAAACGATATGTGTACACATTGATCAGAGGTTAGTTATAGACTGCGCAAAAGTCCCTAGTTCCTATATAAACCTGAACTCGTATAGAATTTTCAGCGGCAAATTTAAACTAATCTCGCAATGACATGCGTAACGATCATTTATTAAATACATTGTACGAGTATTCAAAACAAATTAATGTTAAGTAAATAACAAAATAACGTTCGTAGTACACAATTTTAATCAATTAAGTAACGTTTAAAAGATTAATTTATACAATGGTACCGAACGTCGGAATAATATATTCCAAAATAAAAGCACTAATGGAGTAAAAACATTGTAAATAATTTTTCACTGTATCTCCTCTCGCAACGTGTTCAAAAAATTTCAATTACTCGTTAAAGTTGTCGCGATGAATCGATTTAAAATCATTCCTCCCAGATAAATTTGAAAACGGAAAAAAATTCGTGGAGCCAATAATCGAACGCGTTCCCTTCTTTTTATGGTCCTTCGCGAAGACAAACTCCCTAGACGTGGCATCGAAAGCAGCGACACCCGACTGTGGTCGAACGAATTCGGGCAGATTCGGGCGCGTGCGATACGAGGCGCGCGTAGAAGGGCGCATGCTGGGACGTGTCACGGACACGCGTGTGTCACGATCGCGTATACATTTGCATCGTGACTGGCCAGAAGGCAACGCGGCGGGACGCAAGGGGGCGGCATTCGAGGCTTGGGAGAGCAGACAGGCGCGTAGATAGGCCAGCTCACGGTGGCGTTTCCGCAGCGAGCTACGGAATCATCCCATGCTCGTAGGCCGCCGCGTGTGGCTCGCGTTCAGAGGGTTCCTCGTCTCGTCGATGGTCACGCGTCGTGTCAACGCGAACAGTGACCGACAGCGACACTTGACAACGTCACAACCGTACGCGTTTAAGGGTGTGCGATGAATTCTCACGGGAAATAACCGCGGCAACTTTCAGAGCAAAGAGAAATCCCGCGTAACCGTTTGCAAACTGGTTGCTAGCATCAAGGCGGTACGTCGAGCTGCTGTGCCTACTGCTACTCGTGGTGGCGGTGGCAGTGTTAGTGGTGGCCGTGGCGGTGGTGGTGGTTTCCTATCGTGGTGGTGCCCGTTGGTAGTCGAGAATCGTATCGTGGTGGTGGTGGTAGTAGTGGTGGTGCTGTCAGAGTAGTGCTGCGCCTCGTTCGACGACGGTGGCGAGGGAGAGAAGGAAAAGTGGCCCTCGAGGTTACGAGGCCAGAGGAGAAAGTGGGTGTTGCCGGAGTGACAACGGGAGGATCATCCGGGTCCTCGACGCCAGGACACGAGAAACAGGGGTCTCGGTGTGTAGGATGCTCGTCGGTCGACGATCCAGGAGTCGACGTCTCCTAACCGAGAGCCTGATCCTCGTTGATCGTGTGCCTCGTGAGTACAATCTTCATCCAGGACGTTCATTCTTCCAGCCCGTATATTCCCTTTCGATCGTCTCGCGTGCTACTGCTGCTGGCTACACGAGCGACTCACCGGGACGAGAACCGAATCCCGAATAAATAATTTTCTCATTGTCCATCGCTCTGTTATCCTAGGTAGTGGCGATTAACCGACCACGGGGTTTCTTAGTTTCTCCTCGGAAGAGGGATTTAGTCGGACGGCTACGAAGGAAATAGAGGTCGGATGCAAATTACGAGCGTGGACGAGGTGGTGCGAGCGATGGGCACGGTAATTGGGGCGAGGGGACGCTGGCTCCGGTGGGCGGCGGAGGAGAGAGGATGCGTTGGATACTTCCCCCTTTGCATCCTCTTCCTCGTTTACACCCTCTCCCCCCGCCCCACCGATTTTCCTTCTTTCTCTTCGCTCGCGTTTTCGTTCTCCTTCTTCCTCCTCCCCGCCGTCGACTCTGTAAACAGGAGTCACTGGCGCGTGAAGTACATGGGCGTAGGTAAAACTCGGCTCCAACGGTGCGGAGTTTTTTCGACGTAACGAGGGGCCGGTGGTGTTATCGTGCACAGCGATGACTCTGTGGTGCCCTTTCCGCTTCACTCGCGTGCCACCTCCGCGGCCCTCGTCCCGTCTCGTCTCCACGGATAACAGCGGTGTACAGGAATACCAGAAATAATACTCGAGGCTCGTCGACCGGCCGAGAGTCGGCAACATCCCCCCCTCGTTCCGTTCTTCCCCGGCAGTGTGCACTGGCCTCGATTAGTTCTCGCTTAGAGAGAGAGTTGTGACCGGATTATTCTTTTTCTCCCTTTTTTTTTTTTTTTCTTTTTCAGGGGTGGCATAGAGGGAGAGCGGAAGGGGTGCGCTAACGACGTCACCGTGTCGAGTGAGTCACGGCTTCTAAATTGATCCCCCACCATGCTTGCTCTTCCTCCTCTTCCTCTTGTGTCCCCTACTTCCTCTTGCTTTTACTCCACCTATTCCAGCTTTCTCTCTCTCTCCCCCTCTATCTCGTTCGCTCGACCAGGCCTCGTTCTGTCCCTCTTCCATCCCCTATCTCGTTTCCTTCATCTCCATCAACGAAGCGGAGCGCGTTGATTTAATTCCCGATGCAACGTGCCCTCTGATTTACGCGACGAGAAAATATGCCCGGCCAAGAGGGAATGATCGTGCCCGAGGTCGTTCTCCACGGTAACGTGCCTTCGACTTATGACGACACTCGTTCAATAATTTCGCAAGGTTACGGTAACTGCCGATAGCACTCGGCCGTTTCGCAAGAATCATCGATCTCGCGATGCCTATCTGCGATTAGCCTAAGACAGTGCTAATCACCAGTATACGGCATTCGGCTTCATCGATTTTTAAGAAAATTTTCGATTTTTTTGTTATGAAATCTGACCACTTTTCCCGAACTTCTCAGAACACCACAGGGTAGCGTTATTCACCGAATAACTGCACTTGGTGCGTTTCGAGCGCAATCTGCATACGGTTTCATTGATTTTTAAGAAAATTTTCGATTTCTTTGAGATAAAATCTGACCACAGCATCCGAACTTCTCAGAGAATAGCGTTATTCACAGAATAAAAGCATTTGGACGACTGACTCGTCTGACGGACATCTGAACTCCGCGCTCGTGGTCCGTTGCTCCTCTTAAGGTGACGCGATGGTTCACACGGCCCTACTGGTGATAACGAGTTATCTACCTGCTCGCCGGTCTAGCCGGGTTGGAGATAAGATTGAATCGTCGATGATTGCGTGACCGTGTAACCGCACTGCTTGTCTCGTTATCGGCTGATACGATAATTGAGAACAGGCTACAGGTTGAAAGAGATTCTTGCAAATTTCCCTGCTAATCCCACGCTGGTCTCGCTAATGTTCCCAATAGCCGGCTGTCCCGTGTTCTGCTCCTTATCCGGCTGAGCAACGAATGTCAGGTTGTAAGCCGCATTTGCATTGCAAACGTTTCGCTAATGCATACGAAATAAGGTTTATTTGATCGAAATCTTCGGCCGATAAGCCTCACGAAAAGCTGGCCGGTTTGTTTCACGTGTTGGTCATGATTTAAGGGCGGTTAGCTATCGCGAGATTTACGGCTGGATCGGTAAGTCGAACCGGGGGTTTAGGCTAAAGTGTGCGACTCGGCAGATAGACATCGCACGAAAGCTGGCAATTTAAAGCTAACTATCGGGTACGTTCAAGTGACCATTCCTTTAAGACCTTCCATAATTTGCAACCCCGTTGTCACGACAGATAGGATACACCGCTTCACTGAATCCGCCGCTAACACGTTCAAGGAAAGGCTCCCTGTTCTCGGTCAAGCCTGAGCAAAGAGCAAATCGCGTGTCGGCAACGGCGAATTCGACAGGGTTCGAATAGCCGAGGAAAATAAAGAAAATGTCAGATAACAACCGAGATATAATCTCTCTTTAATAAATAGACGAAACTTCCTCTGCTTCTCGTGTCGAGGATCAAAGATTAAGTTCCGTCAGACACGTGACGCTGAGCCTTGGGTAGCACTTAGAGCAGAATTATCAAACGTTAATCCCTTACGTAATCCCTTGTTTCTTTCCCGTCGTGTTGAACCAAGTCTCATGGCATCACGTCAAACCTGTCAAACCGAAGAGATTTCTTAGCCTCGACCATTTCCAGAGATTGAGGTTTACAAATTATAATATCGTCAATTTTCCATCATGTAAACATAGCTTCACGAAAGAGCAAAGCCTAGGTCAATTGGGAAAAGCCCTGCGTGATGTGTCCGGCTATATGGCCATATGTGGCCATATTAACGGAGGCATCGGAAAACGTGTGCATAGTGGGAAAGATATACAAAGAAGGTTAAGAATGTTCAGAAGACAGTTTTTGTAGACAGTTTGGAGTGGTCAGTTTTAGTTGTAGACGGTTAGTTATTGCAAACTGAGTTGTGAAATTGAACGCAGTATCAACACATTGCGGACCAGGCATTTTATTGCTGACCATACCCAATGGTCGGGTATTTTGCGTCAAATATTTTTAAATTAGCGATAATTTGTTAGTAGTTAAAAATCATTGTCACGTGAAATATTTATTTTCAACGACAGCTTCAAAAATGAACGATTTTTCAATATTTTTTAATAAGTAAAAATTTGTACGAACTAAAAATTCTTCATTACCCTATTTACCATATTTCAGGGTTTCAAATAATTAATTCGCTGCTATCTGTATACCTGTTTCTACATATCTGACACTTGTCAAATTGACAGGCAAAGGAAACCATGTGTCTTTTTTTTCTAACGATTGGTTTAATTTAAAACCAATATTAATTTTAAAACAATATTAACAGTCTTAATATAAGTTAACTAAATCTGTTACCATCGTATAATTGGAGCAACCCATCCGTGAAATTGACGGGTTCCGTAAATCTAGCGTTAAGACAGTAAATAGGAAATCGTATGCAAATTAAGACGTAGAATTATTTTACCTCGACATTGCACGCATCGGTGGATAATTTTAAAAATTTGACGTATTAATCAACATCGATCTTTAGAATCTGATTAAATGGCGACTGAAAGTCACCTCTCGAGTGCAAAGGGTTAATATTAAAGGGTTAAGAGAAATAGTAATTCGAAGACTTTCTGCCATAAAATCGACGATATTTTTAAGACAGTAAATAGGAAATCGTATGTAAATTAACCCTTTGTGCTTTGTGCTCGACGATTTTTTGGCTGAAGAAGGGTACGAGTTGAAAAATTCTCTGTTGTAAGGCTGGTGATATCTTTTGAGCAGTAAATAAGAAATCGTATAATAACTAACACGCAGAATTATTTAATTTCGATACCTCGCACACTTACATTATTTTAAATTTGGTATATTAATTAACATCGAGCTTCGAAATTTTATCCAATGGTGACTGAGAATCACCTCTCGAGTGCAAAGGGTTAATATTAAAGGGTTAAGAGTTTCTCATGACAGAGAAATAGTAATTCGAAGACTTTCTGCCATAAAGTCGACGATATTTTTAAGACAGTAAATAGGAAATCGTATGCAAATTAAGACGTAGAATTATTTTACCTCGACATTGCACGCATCGGTGGATAATTTTAAAAATTTGACGTATTAATCAACATCGATGTTTAGAATCTGATTAAATGGCGACTGAGAGTCACCTCTCGAGTGCAAAGGGTTAATATTAAAAAAGTTAAGAGTTTTTTATGACAGAGAAATAGTAATTCGAAGACTTTCTGCCATAAAGTCGACGATATTTTTAAGCCAGTAAATAGGAAATCGTATGCAAATTAAGACGTAGAATTATTTTACCTCGACATTGCACGCATCGTTGGATAATTTTAAAAATTTGACGTATTAATCAACATCGATCTTTAGAATTTGATTAAATGGCGACCGAGAGTCACCTCTCGAGTGCAAAGGGTTAATATTAAAAAAGTTAAGAGTTTTTTATGACAGAGAAATAGTAATTCGAAGACTTTCTGCCATAAAGTCGACGATATTTTTAAGCCAGTAAATAGGAAATCGTATGCAAATTAAGACGTAGAATTATTTTACCTCGACATTGCACGCATCGTTGGATAATTTTAAAAATTTGACGTATTAATCAACATCGATGTTTAGAATCTGATTAAATGGCGACTGAGAGTCACCTCTCGAGTGCAAAGGGTTAATATTAAAAAAGTTAAGAGTTTTTTATGACAGAGAAATAGTAATTCGAAGACTTTCTGCCATAAAGTCGACGATATTTTTAAGCCAGTAAATAGGAAATCGTATGCAAATTAAGACGTAGAATTATTTTACCTCGACATTGCACGCATCGTTGGATAATTTTAAAAATTTGACGTATTAATCAACATCGATGTTTAGAATCTGATTAAATGGCGACTGAGAGTCACCTCTCGAGTGCAAAGGGTTAATATTAAAAAAGTTAAGAGTTTTTTATGACAGAGAAATAGTAATTCGAAGACTTTCTGCCATAAAGTCGACGATATTTTTAAGCC